TAGATTTTCATACTAGGGCTGGCAATTCATACTTGGGCTGGCAATTCATACTTGGGCTGTTCAATTTCACTTTCTAACCAGTTTCAGAAAGTAGTTTCCTCTGAATTGGAATGTGTTTGCAAATTAAATGTATTTATATTGGAAAATGTTTATTTAATTGTACTTTGTTTAAAGTTTATATATTTTATTTATATAGTTTAAAGGCAAAAAAAAAAAAAAAAAATTCCAAACTTTCTGGGAAGTGGAAATAGATTGAATTCAATCTAATTCTGATTTTTATTAAATTTATAATATTACTATTAATTACATTTGACCTTCCTTCTCTTTTTTCTTTTTTACAAATAGTTGATTATATATCGGTCTTCTTTTTACACTCCTAAAAAATATTTATGTAAATCTTAAGTTTTCCGATGAAGGCTACTTTTTTCTTTTCTTTGAATAAAGTTTGGCTCACAAAGCAGATTCTATGGTGACAGAAGATGCTGGTATAATAAAATACTTTCGAACCGCACTAGCTAACAGGGAAACCTGATAATTTTTTTTTTCCAAATTTGACTAAAACTTAAAGGACTTAAGGAAGCTTCATTTCTATAAAAGTTTATTTTTCCCAGTAAATGTTTATTTTGTGAAATCACTACTGTTTTTGGCATGTAAAACAATCACCTAATAAGACCAAGGATAATTTAATAAAGTTTCCATAAACACATTAAAATAGAAACTTCATTATTATATTCTATTACTCAAATAAATTATAGAAAGTGACATCGCAGTCCCTTTGGTGCCTGAAATATATTTATTTTGAATTCAATTTAAAAAGAGAAAATTGTAAAAAGAAAAAAATGCTTCTATTTTCAAAATACCAGCCTTATACGGTAATAAATATATTTATTTTTATAAATTAAGAATAAACCAGTTTGCTTAACTGCCCTAGTCAAAATGTCCTATAGGATCCTATAAGAATTTGGAACAAAAAAATTTCAGATTTTAACCCCATTAATTTTAAACTCATAAGTTAGAAAGTATTTATAGTTATCAAAGTTTTTTTCTTTTTTTTTTGTTTGTTCCAAAATTGTCCTTTATGATTTTTTGGGTGAGGGTGAGTCGCACTGTTCAGTTATAAGTGCGCAAATAGTTCAGTTAAAAGTATAATAGATATACTTATGTATAAGTGTCTTTGCGAAATCAAGCCAGCACATTTACCAAATAATAGAGACAGTTGTCTTTCTTAATGTTACATTAAAACTTTTTTTTTTTTTTAAATTAACAAACTGGACAGATCTTAATAAGCTCCAGGTGGTCGGAAATTTATAAAATAGATAAGAATTTAATAAATTTTTTTAATGACTATCCAATTAAAAGTGATTGGAAAGTGTAAGGAAGTAAGGTCGAATTTAATTAATAGTAATAATATATTACTAATATCCTGTAAAAACCTAAAGAAAGTGAATAATTTTTAAATACTTTCCACGTTCTGGAAATTGGAAATAGATTGAATTTAATCTATTTCCATTTCTCGGAAAGTTGGAAACTCATTAAAATTGAAATTTTTTTAATGGCATATAAACTGTATAAATGAAACAATTTATTTTTCCTCATAAAAAAATGGATTATTTAAAAAACTTCCACTTTCTCAGAAGGAAAGCAAAATCATACACTCCTAATTCATACGCAAAATAATATAAAAAGAAATTTATATTATTATTATTATTATTATTAAGGTTTACAAATTGGATTTGTATAGGCATGAAATGCCTGTCAACCTGTCTTATGATTACTATATAAATATACTAGTCATAAATTGTTTTTTCTTCTTTTAGATAATTGTCGAGTTTGTTTTTAAAATTGCTTACGGAAGTAGCATTTACAACGTCATCTGGGAGGGAGTTCCATTTGTTGATTACTCGTAAGGTGAAAAAGTATTGACGAGAAGCTAGACGAGAATAAGGTTTTTCTAGTTTAAATGAATGCCCTCTTGTAATAGAATTTATAATTGTTTTTGGAAAGATCGTTTGACAGTTGTAGTAGTTGTTTAGCCATTTATAGACGTTTATTAAATCAGCCCGGATTAGTCTGTATCTTATGGTTGTCATATTAAGTTTCAATAGTCTTTGGTGATATGTTAGACTTTTTAATCCATGAACTGATTTAGATGCTCTTCTGAGTATATTTTCAACTTGTCGTTTGTCTTTCAGTAGACGAGGGTTATATACAGAACCACAATATTCTAAATATGGTCGTACTAGTACTGAAAACAGTCTTTTAAAACAAAATGAATTTAGATAAGAGAAAGATCTTTTTATTAGAAATAGCATCTGCATTGCCCTATTAACTTGAGTAGAGGTATGTTTAGAAAATAGCAAGTTATTATCGATATGTACTCCGAGGTCAGTTTCTGAGTTGGTAGATTTGATATCAATCCTTGTTTTCTTCACTGGATCGTACATAGAATAGACAAGATGTTTATTTTTATGACCTAGGTGTAAAACTGAACATTTTTCTATATTAAATTTCATCCCCCATTTAGTTGCCCAGTCAACCAAGATATCAATATCATTTTGAAGTACGGTGTGTGAATGCAAATTAGTAATAGGGTAAAATATTTTTGTATCGTCAGCAAAAAGTGCTGCATTTGAAGTAATTATATTGGGAATATCGTTAACATATATAATGAATAATAGAGCTGAGAGAACAGAACCTTGGGGAACTCCACTTTTTACTGATACCCAATCAGAGTAATTACCATTTATCAATTACTCTTTGTCTTCGATTTGTGAGAAAGTTTCTTATCCAAGAGAGAATTGGACCATTAATCCCATAGGCTTTTAGTTTCAAAAGAAGATAGTCGTGTGGGACTTTGTCAAATGCTTTTTCAAAGTCAAGGTAAATATTATCGACGGGAAGACCTTTATCTAAATTAAGTGTCCATGTATTGATTACAGTAAGAAGATTTGTTTCACAAGAGCGCCCTGGATAAAAACCGTGTTGACTAGAAGTTAGTAGATTATTTTTTAAAAGATGAATAAAAATATGTTTTTGTATTATTTTTTCAAATATTTTGACTATAGTGCATGTTAAACTAATGGGTCTATAGTTGGTAACTAGTTTCTTGTCTCCTTCTTTGAAAATTGGAATGATATTTGCATCTTTCCAGATTTGTGGTAATGTACTAGTTTGAAGTACCTTAGTATAAATAATAGAAAGATGTTTAGAGATTTGATGATGGGTTTCTTTTAATATTTTAAGATGTATCTCATCTGGACCCGGTGATTTAAATGACTTTATAGACAGAAGATGAGATGCAATGTTTCCAGGAGATAGATCAAGATTATTAGAGATTTGACTGGGACAAATAGAAGATAAGTTAAAACTTGGAACAATCAATGTATCATTATCAGAAAAATTACTAGCAAAGTAATTATTGAAGCATTGAGCCTTTTCAAGATCGGTGGTAGCAACTATCTTATTGTGGACTATTTCAGGAATGAGATTTTTTATAAGATTTTTTGATTTTATGTATGAAAAAAAAGCTTTAGGATTTTTGTTGATGTTTTTAGCAATTTCTTTTTCAAAATTTATTATAGCATTTCTGCAAGCTGCTTTAGTTCTGTTACGCGCTCGACAATAGTCAAAGTAAGTTTTACCATTCCGTTTATGAATGTAGTCTTGATATTTAATTTGTTTATTTCTTATTTCTTCTGCTACTTGGGCGGTTATCCATTGTGAACGCTTTTTAGGTTTTGTTGAGGATTTTGGAACATTTTTTTTAATAGTGTTTTTAAGGTTTGTGTAGAATGTATACCAAAGTTGTTCTGAATTATAGTTTTGATTTAACACTAAGCTTGATAGATCTTTATTAATTTTATTATAGTTTCCTTTAGAGAATAATTGCTTATTAGTAGTATGAGTTGGTTTATCTATTGGATCGGTTAGTACGGTAAAGTATAAAAGGTGATGATGACTTTTTCCAATTGGAGCAAGGTGGGTTATTGGTGAAATTATGTTTTCCACGGATGTTATTATAAGATCGATAGTAGTTGGTTTTTGATTCTTTCTGAAGTGGGTTGGTTTAGATATATGTTGTGTGAGGAAACAATTGCGGATTGAATTTATGAATTTTAAAGATTTTGATAAGTGAGATATCGGGTTTCCTTTTTTGTTAGACCAAGTTATATCTGGGTAGTTAAAGTCTCCAACAATAAGGATGTTTTCGTATTTTTCAGAAAGATTGGTTATGTGTTGATTTATATAGTTATCATTTTCGTCATTGCTATTTGGAGATCTGTAGAATGTTGTTATTAGTAGCTTAGAATTTTTTGTTTGAATTTCACAACTAATTGATTCTGATGCAATGGTATCAAAGGTAACCAATGACGATTTTAACGATATATGTACAAATATTGCTACACCTCTTTGACATGATTTATTATTGTGATTTGATAGTGTTATGTAGTTTTCTATAGTAATTTCTTGATCACCGCACATTGATCTGCAATTTTTAGGCAAAGTTTCAGTAAGACAAATGAGATGTGGTTTAAGTTTTTGAACAATGAAATTTAGTTCTTGGCGTTTGTTTAAAATCGAATCAATGTTGGTATAAATTAATTTTAGTGATTTGATTTGTGTGAGCTTGTTATTTTTATCAGATTTGAAGGATAACCATTTATCTTTAGATAAATGGTTATCAATAAATGGTTATCAATATTTAGATAACCATTATATTCTTGAAGATATCCAAGCAAAGCATACTTGTGTTTTGATTAACCTTGTTTTTACATTGTTATATTGCTTGGTTTTAGATCAGACTTTTCCTTGATTTATAAAGAAGTAAAATGCCTAATGACTACATGCAACAGAAAAATAAAAATAAAAAAGTAAAAAAAAAAAAAAAAAAAAATTTTTTTTTTGATTTTTTTTTTCTTCTGTTGATAATAAAAAATAAATAAAAGTAAAATCTTCATATAAAAATCATTTTTACACTTTTAGTATTGAATCATACTTACATATAACGCATTTAGCTGAGCCTTATCAATCTTACTTAGACCATCTCTCTGACCGATTGGTTTTTCTTTACCCAAAACATCTATTGTACTTTTCCCATTTTTTGAAAAATAATGTGTTCCATAATGCATTATTGAGTCAAGATCGTATCTAAAAGTTCATAAAATATTTAAATATTTAATAAAACCCATGCAACAGTTATATATAATGCTCCACTGTGACAATATAAATATATAGTTGATAGAATATAGTTAAGGATAAAAAAATAACAAAATTGACAACTTAAAAATGCAAACAAATATTAAAAAAGAAAAAATTTATATTAAAAAAAGTCTAAAGAAATAAAGTTTCAAAATGTAAAAACATCATACATGTATTTGTATAAATGTGTGTCTATATATCAATGCATATGATGAATAAAATCATACAGCGCAATATTTTGCGCTTGTAATACTATAATACGTTATCAACAAGCGCAATTATGAGTCCTTGGCATCAAGTCTTCAAGAGAAACATTCAGATTTGGGAATTGGTTGCCATGGGGCCGTTCATAAATTGCGTAAGCAAGTATGTTCACTCAAAAATGTACTAGTTTGTACAAGGAAAAAAACAGGCAATTTTTTGTTTTAATTTTTTTCTTGTGAAGTCCAGGAAATCTGATAAAATAGTTTTGGTTTTATAGTTAATGCATTTGTTTATCTATCTGAAAAAATATGTTGCAGCTTTGATATTAAATAAAAACAATGAAATATAATCATTTATTAAAAAATAATTTTATATCTTTGGTTTTTTTTGACATGCTTAATTTCTGATATTTTAAACAACAGAAACATTTTTAATTTAACTTAAAACAAATAATAGTTAAAAAAAAAATATATTTCTTTTATTTACAAAAGATGTGCAAAAAATTAAAAACAATAAAGCAAAAGAATTTTACGTTTTTACAAAATCTTGTGGATTAAAACTTTTGGTTTTTCAAAATTCAATCAATTTATTAAACTTAAATCTTTTATTATCATTGGGACGAAATGTTTTAAAAATAGTAAACATTCCATTCTATTTGTTAGTAGTAATGACTTCATAACCTTTCATTTGTTGTTTGAACAAAATAGAAAATTATTTTCTATATTATACAAAATATTACTCACTTGAATAAAATATTATTCAAGTCAATAATATTTTATAAACTTGTTTTTTATTGTAATATTTACGCGAGTTTTTTTAATTTTGGTATGGTTTAAGATCTGAAAGTTTATTATTAATTACTTACGCTTCAAGTGTTGTTTATTTTCGTCAGTTCATAAAATGTAACCAATAAAACATTAGCCGAAGTAGAAGAAAAAGAGAAAGTCATTGAAAATGACAATAATGTTAACAAAAGCTTGTCATGCGAAGTAGACCAAACAACTTTAAAAGAATGTGATTTTAAAGAAAAAGAATGATATTAACATACTCTTGCTTGGAAATCAGGAATTATCACCACATGAAATATACAAAATGCTTACAAATGAATGATATTGTAATTGATATTTTGTATAATATAGAAAGCAATTTTCTATTTTGTTCAAACAACAAATGAAAGGTTATGAAGTAGTACTGCTAACAAATAAATGATATTATAATTTTATAAACAATTAATTATGTAACAGACTTATACTAATATAATAAGTGTAAGTATATATATACTTATACAAACATAATATATAAATAACTTATATACTGACAAATATTTTGAGAAATACGTTAGTGAAACTAGTGACGTAACATTTTTCTTTTGTTGTTTGCGAGCATGCTTCCAAAAGCTGCAATTCAAAGTTGTATAACAAATATATATTGCTATACGTATTGTTTATTGAAACTATTTTTTTATAATTTTAAGTTGCGATAGCTTTGACTTTTTTAATAGACTTTAATATAAGCTTAACTGATTCAAAGATACCAGTGAAACTATTTAGTTCTATATTAACTTAAATTTATATATTTGTCAAAATATTTCATATTCCAACGTTTTGACGTTTTTGAATTGTAAATATAATAGTGATTAATTAATAGAATGTGATCGAACCTGTACAAAATCGAAGCTTTAAGTGAAGTTTTAGCTTAATAAACTTTTTAAGCTACATATTTATAAGTTATTTATAAATATTAAAATATTAAGCTAGATAATTATAAATATTAAGCTAGATATTTAATTTTTTTAAGACATTTAAGTTTGGAATTTTCATTGAAGTGTTGCAAGTTTTGATACTTTATTACATGGACTTTTATGCAAAGTAAAAGTTCTAGTTTTTTTAATTCAAAGTAAAATTTCTAGTTAAGCGAAGTTTTTTGTCAAATGGACCCTAAAAAAAAAAAAAGTTAGCGAATGGTTTGACTTTGCGATTAAGCAGATAATATAATAAAATTCAAAACTCTACTGTTTAAACATATTTTGACTTCAGCAAAAAAAAATTTACTATAATATTTACTAAATATTTTATAAAAATATTTTCTATAAAATCAACTACTATATATTTCAAATGTTGACATTTTTAATAGATTTTATTTGTATAAATATTTTAATTAAAACTTCTTTTTATGGTTTAATACCTATTTGTTAAAAATATATATATTTTTTACCATATTTCGAGGGAATATTGATACCCTCGTTATCAAGTATATTAAAAACCGTTATAAAAAATAAAACAGCTATATTATACAAAATCGTTGGTTGGTTTAATTTGAACGTTTGTGATTGCATTTTTGCAATGTATTTTAAAACTATATGTACCAGTTTTATTGTTGGTAACTGAAACATCAAGATAGTTTAATGTATTGGTCAAGTCTGCAGATTACATTTTGTATTGTGTATTATAAAACCAACTGAGGGAGTTAAGTTAAGACAAGAAGTTTTATCAATTATAAAAATGGCCAAAACCAATTAAAAGTAGCCTTAACAGTAAACAAAAGCTCTTTTTGAAATAAGGAAAGATGGATCTGGATTAGTTCGAATTGATCGAAATATTGCTCTATTAAAGAGCACTTAGGAGATACAAAAAAGTTAAACTACGACCCAACTTTTTTTTTTTTTAAATAATTATTCACCTCCCCAAGGCCGAGGGGGCCACTACAGTCAAGGAGGCTACTCATTTTTTTGTTTTTTTTGTTTTGTTGTAAATCGTGGTACAACCCTCTCTCAACTCTTTAACTTCGAAACACGATACCTTGACCGCAAGACCGCTGCACAGAGAAATTAAGTTGAGCGGTACTTCCAGGGACGTGGTGGGAGTCAAACTCCGAACCTCTCGCTTACAAAGCGAGCGCTCTAACCACTACCGCATTCAAACTATTTAAATACTTCACAAAGTTCAAATCACTCTCAGAAAATTAAATAAACTAGGACATTTTACCAAAAAAGAATAAAAAAATATCTACCCGAGTAACACAATACCACCACTTTTATATGGAGTAATTAAAGCCCATAAGCCTGAAAAAGGTTACAATGAGGTTAATTGCAAGTACCATTGGTACACCTACATACAGCATCTCTAAATATTTAATCAATATGGTACAACCCATTCTAAACTTAAATGAAACCTGTTTAAAAAATTCTCAACAAATTGTGGATACAGTAAGATTATGGAAAATTGATAAGAATGAGGTTCAGGTCTCCTTTGATGTTGTAAATTTGTACCCTTCAGTCGCGATTAAAGAAACAATCATTATACTAGTTGAAAGATTAAGAAACAACGAGAGCTTTATATCTAAATTAACTTTTGAAGAAATCAGGTTACTTTAAGAACTTTGTCTTTCTCATTGTTACTTTTTATATGAAAATGATATTCATGAGAAGTCTAGAAAAACTAGTTAAGTCTGCTAAAGAAAATGTTAACAACAAAAAAGATCTCACGAAAAATCAATATTTCTTAATGTCTTCAAAAAGATTTGTCTTTACCTTGGATCCATGGAATCAGTCCTAAGTAAAGAAAAGTTTTTAAAAAAGCAGGTAACGCACCAGTGTTTAAGTCTCCAAAAAATCTCCAAACTCTACTAATTTCCAAAAATAAACCTACACTACCAGTTGATTCCTATCCTGGTGTTTACAAATTAGAGTGCTCTTGTGGCAAATGTTATGTTGGTGAAACTGGACTAAAGATATCGTCTCGGATATGCCAGCATCAAACAAGTGCACAACAAGGTAAAGAGGAAAATTCAGCTGTAGCTGAACATTCCAAAATTTGCAAAAGAAATTTTCACTGGAATGGTCACAATACAAAAAACAAAAAGTTTTAATAGGAAAGTTAGGGAAGCGTTGGAAATACAACACAACGAAAGTATCTTTCGCGACAATGGTCTTAAT